GGAGGTTGACATCAGTGTCCTCATCTGGGACCTCAACCTTATCAACTGAGATGGGTTCCCAGGAGAGGGCAGAGGGTGGAGTGTTGGCTTGGAGTGGGATGCGGACCCTGATGTGGGGATGAGAGGTGGGCAGAGGATGTGCCTGGGCGTTCAGGCTGGCTCCCGTGTTGGGATGGGGCTCACACCGGGCTCCCCCTTTCTGTTCCTGCAGCCTGGCCGCGGTACCGGGTCGTGGGCTCTGCAGACGCCGGGCAGTACAACCTGGAGATCACAGACGCCGAGCTCTCTGACGATGCCTCTTACGAATGTCAGGCCACCGAGGCCGCCCTGCGCTCCCGGCGGGCGAAACTCACCGTGCTCAGTAATAGCCCCAGTGTCCCTCAGCCCCCGCCCCCTCCTCCTGTCTCTTTCTCTTGGAATCCTGGCAGCCCCTTCCCTTCTCTTTATTTTTCACTCTCCTCTGTTCCTGGCCTCATGCTTGCCCCCGCTGTCCCTCTATCTCCCTAGCTTTCCCTCCCCAACTCCTTTTTTTAACTTCTTTTGAAACCAGTGAGGATGTGGACAGCACTTGAGGGACATGTGGGGTATGTGTGGTCTGGTGTCCTATGCCCAAGACCTGTTCAGGGGCCGGGCTCTGCCTTTTGGATATAAGACTCTCTCTGCCCCAGCAGAGGAGTGTTGGGGTGATGGAGACCGGCCCTCGTTTCCCAGCCTCTCCTGGTAGACAGGCCTGTTGGTGAGGGAGCTTCTCCCATTTTCTCCCATCTGCTGCCTCTGAGCTCCAGAAGCTGCCCTCTTCGCTCCTTCTCGGCCTCACTCAGCCCTTCCTCCCCTTCTCTGCCTCCTTTCCTCCCTCGGCACTCACCCCTCCTCCCCAGATTCACCTGGAAGCCTCCTCAGGGAACCGGGGAGCAGGACTGGAAGGAGTGGGCTGAGGGCTGAGGGCTGAGGGCTGGGAAGGGGTCCTGTGTGCATCTGGATGGGCCCTGGAGGAGGTCGTGTCTCTCAGCTGCCACCCAAGAGGCTCAGAGCCATGTTTCTGTGGTAACACCAGGGCCATCTTCATAGTGATGGGACCCTCTCCCACACACAGTAGAAGAGTGTCTAGCTCTCAGGGCCTCCTCCCTCTGCCGTGCCTCTTGCAGGACCTCTGGCTCCATCGGTCTTTCTGTTTCTCTCGAGCTCAGTGGCTCTCACTGGGCCTCTGCCTATCCTGTGTTTCTTTGCTCGACTCTATTTGCCTGTGACCCTCTGTCTTCCTTTTTGTTATCAGCTCTGTCCCTTTTTTCCTGCCTCTGTTTGATCTGCCCTGCTCCCCCTCTTTTTCCTCCTCTAACCAGAGTTTGTTGAAGTCGGGGAAGCCCCCAGGAGGGATGGGAGGAAGGAGCCAGGTAATGAGATGAGTGAGCTTGAGCACAAGGAAGATTTTTACTGGGGTTGGGGGAGGCTGTGACGAATACTTTGAGTGTGGTGGGAAGAGTCCTAGACTGGTATCGGGAGACCTGGGCCATTTTTGCACCAGAGTCTGAAGAGGTCATGACCTCTGGACATTAGTTTTCTTATCGGTAACATGGCATAGTGATGCCAGCCTTTTCGTAGCAACTGCCACTTCGCTATATCCTGTGCGAGGAGTTGTAAATTGTGGAGGTCTGGGCAAATGTGAGGTGTCAGAATAAGTGAGACTGGAGGAGCCCCACAGCCAATATTGTTGGGTGTAAAGGCCCTGAAGGACTAGAACTTAAGGCTGGTGGATGACTTGCTTTTCCTCTCTCATGAGGACAGAATGGGAAGAATTCACAAGGAGTAGGACTGAGGTTAGGGAGCAAGAGCTAGTTGACCGCCAGGGGTGGGCATGGAAGATAGGACACCACCTTCCATCCCTTGTTAGAGTGTGTGTGAGCCCCAAGCTGGACCAGGCATTCCAAGGGAACCATGGGGTTCTTAGAAACCTCCCCTCTATTTCCCTTTATAACTCTTCTGTTTTGGGTTCTAGAATAGGTGCCCTGGAGAACTCCCATCTTGAGAAGGCCTTGATAATCTTCCTTTCCCTTTCCTTTCCTACCCAAGCATAGACTGAAATAAAGAGAAATGAAGAAAGGCCAACCAAGACCCTAGATGTTGCAGGAACAGGGCTTATAATGGTATCCAGTGGCTTCATTCAGTCAAGGAAGGCTTACTGGAAGAGGAGACTATAAATGGGAACCCTGCATGGAGGAGTAACTTGTTAAAAAGCTGGCAAGCCAACGAGGGAGAGCCTCATGAGTGGGAGAGCTCACTGGCTTGTTTGCTCACTGGCTTGTTTGGAGGGCACGATTGGTGCTGAGGGTGTGGACCTTTGTAGCCCATCTGGGCGATTGGGGCAGATAAGGGGAGCAAGAAAAGGCCACAGGAATAAAAGAGATGAAAGGTTAGTCTGACTGCTTCTTTTCCCTCTTTGTCTCCTTGAATTCTCAAACTCCCTGCCACCTGTGGTCTCAAGGAGGCAATAAGAAGGCAGAACATTTCTCCCATCCTTCCCCTCTTACCTGCGTACACACAGCTTTTGCTCATGGCAGCCTGGGGGCCCAGACACCGGGCAGGGCAGAGTCAAGAGGGGACTGTAACAGCCTCCCTGCACATAGCTAGCCCCACCATCCCCCCCATCAGCAGCCATACCCCTCAGTGTTCTCTCCTCCAAACCCCATCGCAGGTTAGCTTCTTCACAGAGTGGCCCTTTATTCCTCCTGCAGCAAGACTTTGAGAAGCTGCCTTCCACCCCCTCAGACACAGACGCAGGCATGATATAAATCTGCAGACCTACAGCCCCTTCGTTTTTCAGTGATAACCACCCGAGTGTAGCAGTGGCGAGCCTGGCTCCGGGGCCAGCGGGCCTGGCCCACCTCCAGCCCTGCCATTGAACTCACTCTCCTGTCTCTGAAAACATTTGCTTAACCTCCCCGAGCCTCAGTACCTTATCCGTAAATTGGGATTCATGTATTTACCATGTGAGAATTAATGAAATGTATTTGGTGGGTTGACATCATATTCACAAGGCACTTGACTGACACCTGTGAGCATTCAGTAGGTGGTTGAAAACTGTTGAGGACCTTAGAGCTTATAGGTGCCTTCACATTCTCGATCTCATTTCCCCTTCACAATAACAGCCCTCGGGAAGAGGTGTCAGTGTTCTTTTTGAAATTTTACAAAGAAACTGAGGCCACCAACACCTACATATTGATATGCAAATTCGTCACAAATCATAAAAATTTGTTCATAAACAAACATACGCGCAAACACAAGCTGTCGAACCTATGGCAGAGCAGCTACTTCAACAACCTGTTTTTCTTTGCCCCAAATTCAAAGAGAAAGGTGGGCTAGTGACAGAGGTGACAAATAGACAGTGTTTCTGAAAGGGCCAAGGTTACCTGGGAAGGGAGAGCTGATGTGAAGAGAAGCCTCCTACAGGAGGGATTCCTTGTGTCTGGGCAGGGTATCCCTCAGCTCCCACCCCACACCCATAGGAGCGCAAGGCTTGTGCTCTTCCAGGACTGTCCTCCTGGACCTGACAGCAAGGCATGACCTTGGAGGGTCCCAAGCGGGTCAGGAAACCCTGAGTGGCAGCTCTTTATCGATGACTTTCCATTTTTCTCTTCTTCCAACCCCATTTCCAAATCTATACCCATCTGACACTAGAACCAGGTACACCAGAGAGCAAAGAGGAGAAGCCAGGTGGTCAATGGATGACTCACTAGCCAGGAGTTGGAAGCAGCACTGGCAGGAAAACAAGTGCATTCGACACATCACCTGGGCCCTGCACACTATAGTCCATACACATGCCTCACCTGACCTCACATGGGTCCCATAGGCCTTCATGGGGGTCCCAAAGGCAGGCACTGGCATGTGTCTGTTGAAGAGACTAAGACTCAGGGACTTGAGGGACTCACCCAAGATCATAAGGCAGGTCAATTTAGGTGCCAGGATTTAAAACTAGGGCAGCCTGATCCTAAATGTTAGGCTTTCCCCTCTCCACCACCCAGCATGCACGAGTTGGGCAGAACACTGGGACAGGCCACAAAGAGTTCCAGCATGGAGACCATTGTTTCATAAACATCAGGACAGCCCTGCCCACCACTGGACTCCATGGGCCTCCCCGGTTCATTCTGAAGGGTTCCCTTGGAGAGCACCCCTTGAGTCTTTCCCAGCAAACAACAAGCAAAACCCTTTTTGTTTCTGGTCCAGTGAACACTAGGCAGACCAGAAAGATTATAATCAAAATTTGCCTGCCTGTGTCTCATCAATCACCTATTCAATGATTCAGCTAACATCCCCGGGGATCTGCTGACCATCAAGCCCTGGGCTAGACATTGGAGCGTAAGGCGGAAGCAGTCCCTGCCTTCAGGGAACTAGTCTGGTTCACCTGAGCACTGAGAGGACTCTGGGGATAGGGCTGTGGGAGGGTCCCTGGTTTCCTAGTATCAGACATCTGCATTTCAATTCCTTAAGCATTTAGCAAGAGCTCCCTTCAGCCACCATCTGGGCATTAGAGACTTGTAAATGTTAGTGAGGCAGGGTCTCTGTTTTTCCTGGAATGATTTTGGTTGGGGAAGGGGGTGGATAATCATCATAAGTAACCCAAACACAAGGTACATGGTACGAGGAACTCGGAGT